AGATGAGATGAGATGAGATGAGATGATGAGAAGGTGGCAGAGGACTGAGGGGCTGCACTACAGCAGCTGATTTAAGGAGGAAGGGCAGCTCCAATCCCCATCCCACCGATAGGTGCCCCGAGCAGGCAGCTCCCATGTCCCTTCCAGGGTTAACAGAACTGAGGTGGGGCCCTAGTGTGGGTTATTTCCTAGTTTGCCCATAAAACCAGAGCAGATGGAAGTTGTCGGAGCTGCCCCCGCACAGGGGACCTCAGCCGAGCCGTGCTGGGGAGGGAAGAAAGACATTTCGTGTCAGCAGTAGTTTTGCTCCAGCCCCATTGGTGTGGGACCCCTTCCCTTCAGAGAGGATGCTTGGGGCTAAGTCAGGGGGACAAAATGGGAGACCTTTCCTCAGTGGCTCCCACCGCAGATGTTTCCAGGGTTGCTTTTCGTTTTGCTCGCGGTGGGAAAGCATCTGTTTTGCTTAAGCAAGTGGTTTTCAGCAGCCCAACCTTTTGCTGCGCTGGGGTGCAGCAGGGGAGGGAAGAACTTGACCCGAACCCAGGAGCACGGCTGGGTCATGCAGAGTTTTCCCTGCTCATCCCGGGACACCTGGGAGCTTCAGGCAGGTGATACGCCAGTAGAAAAACCCCTTTGTCTCGACACACCCACTGCTACCCATCAAACTCACCATCGCCTCTACAAAGCCAAGGATCTCTGGCAGGCTCTGCTCTCTGTAATGCCCTGTAGGCTGAAATTAGTGGTATTGACTTGTTTTAATACATTCTCCGTTAGTTCTTTATTTCAGAAGGGGTTGGGTGGCGTGGGGCAGCCTGAGCATGCCCACATTATTCCGCTTTAGCAAACCGGCGTGACTTGACCTCTCTCCTGTTCTTTTGGGGGACTGAAAATCAATGGCTGTACTTAACCCTGTCTATTTATGCAATCCTGTTGCTTGTTTATTTGCCCATCCATTCACTGTTTCAAACTCCAGCAGACAAGCAGATTGAAGAACACGTAGTTTTACAGGGAGGGTGATGAGACACTGGAGCAGGCTGCCCAGAGAAGTGGCCGATGTCCATCCCTGGAAGGGTTCAAGGCCAGACTGGACAGGGCTTTGAGCAAACCTGATCTAGCTAAAGATGTCCTTAGGCTAGACAACCTTTAAAGGTCCCTTCCCACCCAAACCATTCTGTGATTCTATGATTTAATGCCTGTTGTATAACACCCTTCTTTAACGCTACGGGAATGAAAACTATTTCACCAGCCATCCCGGCACCTCACCTGGCTCCTGCCCCACATCCCCCTGTGAAGCAGCTCTTGAATATTGCTGGATCTTCTCCGTCATGGACAATCCTGCCTCTCCCCAGGCAGGCAGCATCCCTGCTGCTTGTGGTTTCTCTGGTTTCCACCCGAAAATGCCTCCTCATTGTACTCAGCTCTCCTGGGTGTCCATTGTTCTTTGCACCCTTTTGTTTTGCCACAGGAGACGCGTTCCCAGGGTCTAGGGTCCATTCCCACGTCCTCTCACTGCCCAGAGATGTGCAACATCCAGGGAAGAGGAAACCCAGGGCAAGCTAATGCAATATTTCCCCGTAGTCCTCTCCCAGACCCTGATCATCTCCAGCTTGGGATGTTTCCTGAGCTTGCTGAGGTTCATCTGCTCAGGAACCCGCTAATTTCTGCATAATATTTGCAGATCCTAATTACTGAATCATTAGGACTGCTAAACATCCCCCTTCTTCCTCTCCTGATCCTTTTGCGTTACCACATCGCCTGTAGCCCTGTCTGGTTGTTTGCTTTCTGCATAACTGTGAGGTTATGGCTTTTGGGGTTTCTAGGAAAACAGTGTTTAACAGTTTCCAATTATCACTCTGGCTTGGTAGGACAAAGACCAAATGACCCCTCCAGGCCTCTCTCTGCCCTATTTTCTATCATCCCATGAGTCTTCTTTTTTTTTTCTTTTCTGTTCAAATTCTTTCTTCCAATGGATTTAGCTCATAATTGTTTTCAGCTTTGCAGACTTGGCCCTTTGCAGGCTGAGGAATATAACTCTATTATTGGGTTGGACTTTCTGCTCACTCGCAAGAGTTTACACCAAAAAGTGATCACCGATGGCCAGTTACTGATGAGATCAGTGATGCAAACCCATTCCTGAAGGTTCATCTCAATATTTCCAAAATGCATTTCTTTTATTTTTTTTTTCTTAACATTATTTCATTGGAGATGTCACAGCTTTTGGTCAACAAGAAATGCCAGGAGATTGGAATTTCCCATAGAGTCACGCTCAAGGTGCAGCCACAGGAGCCGCAAGGTGAAGCACGAGGCAGGTTGATGGGGTCACGTTTGGCCTTTAACATCCATAGATGGTGGAAGAAGGCTGCTGGCAAGTTCCCTCGCTGTCACTTTGCTCCTGCCTGTGGGGGTCTGTGTTTCTTAGAGCTCCGTGGCCACCTGATCAATGATAACGGCCGGTGAAAGGTGGGCAGGTGCCTGCACACGCCTGCATCTGCTGCACAGCTGCAAAGCTGGGCTGTGATGGCTGCATCCCAATCCCTGTTTTGTTTCAGGACCACCGGGACCCAAAGGAGACCAAGGCCATGAAGGGATGGAGGGTGAACCTGGTCTTCCCGGCCTGCCTGGGCTGCGAGGTAAGGAACAACACATCCAGGGTGCCCGTAACCCTGCAAGCCTTCACCCAAAGTCCATAGAGTCAACGGGACACCTCTGAGTGACTTCCCAACCGGTCCCTTGGGACCTCACTGGTTATGCACAGGTCTTGAAGAACAACAAGGTTAACCTGCTGACCCATCTGCTGCCAGACCGCCAGTCTTTAGGGGCAAAAAGTCTCTCTCATCTCCCAGCTGACCTGCAAGGGCCTACCACCATCCAGTTGGTGCCCCCAGGCTCCTTTGACACAACCAGCCAGCCCAAGTTTGTGCAGGGGCTGGCCACCACCCTGTGCTCGCTAAAACCAAGCCCTCACAAGGCACCAGAGCTGGCCCCACCGCCTGCACCCTGCCAGCAGCACATGGGGACCCAGCATGGGGTCCCTCCAGCCTGGCAGAGGGGGAATCAGCCATAGGCTGCAGCTCTGAGGCTTTTTGTAAAACATTTTTTTCAATGTCAAGAACTCTGATTTTTTTTCCCTTCTTAATTCCAACTCAAATTCCAATTTGAGAGAAATTCAATTAAAAAACCACCAGAAGATACCCCCCATCCTGCGAAACAGGACTTGGCTCGAGTCTGTCTCAAATTTTAAGCCAAACCTAGAAAGAGTGGCTTTGCGTCCAAGAGCCAGGGGTGGCACAGAGGTGATGGAGAACCCCCTTTTGGTGAGGACTTTCAGTCCCCAAGAAGCTCTTTCCTATTGAGGTGACAGGATCCACCCTGCCTGGGGCACAGACCTCCTTGTGCATCCCAGAGGATGTCCAGCCCTGGCTTCACCTTAACTGCTGGCCCACGTAGGACTGTCAGAGTCAGGTTCAGCCTGGTGCATCTGAGCTGCTGGTACTGGGCTGGGCTTAAAACCTCATATTTTGGTACCCCATTTCCCCCCGCTCCCCGGTGGGCAGCAGGACCAGCCAAGTTAGGCAGAGCCAGCCTGGAAATCTGATCACTCTCTGAAAGCCCTTTTCAGCGCTGGCTGCCCGTGCTCGTTTCACCGACAGCTATATTTTTTGGCGTCGACAGATTCATGGCTGTTTTTCTTGGGTGTAACAAGCATCAGAAATATATCGTCTGGCTGCTTTTCTTTTTTTTTTTTTTTTTTTTGTTTAAACGGAAAAACAAAACAATCTCTGGAGGTTTCACCTTCAGGAAGAGTTGCAGAAAAGACCACTATTTTTAGGTCTTTCTCTGCCTGGCTTTCTCTGGCACTTTTCTGGATTGTGGTCACAGTACCAGCCCTTTGGGTATGAGAAGGTCAGGTTCAGGTGCAGCCAGGCATTGCAAAGCATCCCTGGTAAATCCCCATTTGCACGGCAGGTCTACCATCCTGCCTCTGCCCCAGCCCCTCTACCCAAATCCGTAGCCCTGTCCTGACAGGCTGCAGCACTCCCACCGGGGCG